ACTACCACTACCACGACCACCACCACGACTACTACTACATCTACTACCAGGAGAAACCGTTAGCATAAGGAAAAGCCGGACGCATATCGGGAGAAACCCACAGCATAAGAAAGCAAAACATGCGCCCTGTCGTAAAGCCTTGGACCAAGGCGAAACTCTTCCTGACAGTGTCTGTCTATGCAGATGAACTGAGTTTGCCAGGCATTGCAAAGACTTCGCCACCTCGCACAAAAGCGACAGGAAATTCGCGCTGTTTACCAACACCGACAACGCGGAGCAACCCGATGGAAAGCTTCAGCACTTCCACCACATACGAACGGGTTAATTTTCACGGGAGGGCAGCAATGCAATTTTCTGAAAGACCCACTGCCAGAGCTTTACCGCAGTTAGCCACTTTGGTCCCTGGCATTGGCGCGAGGATCTTACGCTAAGACCTGAGAACTGCTTAGAGGCTCGTTTATCAGTTTTTTTTCCAAAAGATGGAAGTGAGTCCTTTTGGCAGTCCTTGCATGGCAACTGTGCATCACATAATTGGGGCGTGTTCCAGGAGGGCGTCAGGAGACACGCTCAGGCTCATTTATGTTGGCCATCCTAAAGGCACAAGTTTGCGCGCATCGTTTTCAGCTGGCGGTTTCTGCCTGGAACGGCGACTTGCAAACAGCGAGCGATAAGGTCGGATTTTGCGGACAAGTGGTGCCGTGTCGTGGGGGGAAAAACTGCAGAGAGTAAGTATTTCAACAACCCCACAATATGTGCTGCATGTTGCATTGAATTTAGTGAAATCTTTGGCAGTGAGGTTAATTATTTACTTGTGGCACTGTGTAATGTTGAGACGAAGCAGTCTCCAAATACCAAGCATCCCTTGCCAAACAGGGCAGAGCTCCTCCGGCGAGACAACATGGAGAAAGGTAGCCGCGAGTCCGGGCCGTTGGTCATGGTCAGACTGACATGCGGGAACAAGCGGGTTTTGGAGAGCCAGCATCTCGCGTTCATGTGCTCGCATAAATTTCTGTGTGAAGTACCGACTGGCTGCTTCGGTTGGCATGCAATGGAGTGCATATGCTTACAAGCCCACACAGTTGGATGAAAGGTGTTGCTACTTGTAGCCTTGAGTCGCCTTGGTAGCATTCCACCCCGAGGGAGCGAATGCAGCTCTACGGCGGCGCCTTGTACTGGCACCTGGCCACCACAGTCACTGAAAAATACAAGGAGGGCCTGCAAATATTGCAAGTGTAAGAGGTCACTGGCCGTCGTTTGGATGCCGCGGTGATGTACTGAGCACTGTGGTGCCAAAACATGGCGAGGATGCGCAGCCGGACATGCTGCGCGACAAGGACGTGTTGGAGGTCTTTGGCTTGCATCCGGACAAAAAAAGGAATGTTGCAGATACCAGTGCTCGTGCTCATTCCTTTCGTCGCAGTCAACTCTGTTTTATTACGGTGTTGGGGTGTTTTTTAGCACACCAGATTTTGCAATTTTTGTGTGTGAGCATGGGGCACACAAGTTCCTTTGCTACAGGTGGCTTGCATGCGTGGTGGAGGCACGGCCGATCGACATGAGACATGAGATGAAGTAGTTCTCGAAGGTGTTTTGGTTTGGGTCCCTTGTGTTGGTTCCATCGGAAAGCCCCGACATGCGTTTGAGACGTGTTCTCTGCATTTCCGCAGGAAAACTAATTTTGTCTATCACATTTGTTACACCCGTCGAGGACGGCGATTGATCACGATGTGATTTTCGAAAACGGAAAACACATTCCTACAACCCGCCCCCTCGGGCGATGGTGCTTAAGCATGTGTGTTATAGTCTGACGCAACACTATGTTGATTGATTCCTGCTGATACTGTACTCCACAACCAATACTACTGGTAGGAAAACCGAGTGCGAGAACTCGAACAACATGTATGGGTAGTTCTCTAATTTAGGGTCCCTTTTGGTGGACCCAAAAAGGGACCCTAATTTAGAAAACTGCCCGTTTACGTAATATCAGTTACGGTCAAGGTTTGTAGCTCAGAAACCTCGGTGTTATGTCTCCGTACTTCTACTCAGCTAATCATGTCGATTATCGTCTCATCCGCACCCTCGTTGCTCCTCCCTTCGCTATTTACTGTCCTCTCCCGGGCATCGCCGCGTTTTTGCGTCGGACAAGCTTTCAGCGTGCCCATGGACGGTATATGGGGTTGCATATCGGGAAAGCTGACAACGCCTACTGTCACTCCCTCTTTGTTAAAGTAAGCAACTTCTGTTGCTGTTTTAATTACGCTGTGTTATGTTCCATGAGAACTGATTTCCTGCATAGTTCATCGAGGAAACTGCATTTTCCACCTATGTGCTGCTATACGAGATACGAAAATCTTGTGGCGCCAACCGGAGACCAAAGGAGCCGGCAAACAAAACAAATCGGAACCCCCCCCCCCAAAGCGCCCTCTGTCTTTGAGCTGTGCAGGGGCGAGATATCTTTCCGAGATCACTGGCCCGAAAAGGCCGGTCTGTCACTCAAAGCGGAATCAACTTCTCAACAAGGGGAACCCCGACTCTGGCCTCATCCACTGTACCCGAAGCTGCATCCGCCGTGTCGCTCCCTTTAGACTTGAGACTCTTGCAAGCAGCCGGAAGGGTATCTTGAGGAACATTGTTAAATGGAGGGCACCCGTTCGACAGTCTCTAATCTTTCATATAAAATAACGCTACTGTACAACTGAGTCTCAAACGAAGCTGACCGTCATGACCCAAGGACGCAGTAGCCGTGTGCAGGTACTTGGCCATTGACCATGTGCCGGAACACATCGAGCAGTGTAGGCAGGACTGGCAAGTCTTTTGAGCGCACAGCTATGGAGTTGCGAAGTTGGGACTTCATCAGAAAGCTATGTCTGCAAGCCTGCAATCAGAATACCAGGCTCAGAGCTGAGATAGGAAAGGGCGAATCAAAAGCCTTCCAAGAGTTACTTGCGAATCGGAGCAATCCAGGCGGAAGTTCGGGGAATGGCCCGGCCTCGAGTTCGAGGCGTCGCTCCCGACCTTGTTTGCTCTTAGCGGCTTCGACCCTCCGGTTTGTTTCAAGCAGTCGCATCATGTCGTGAGGTCATGGATGCTCACGAGCTGGCGTCCCTCCAAGAGTCGCGTATGTGCTTCTGAGTTCACACGTATAGTCACTGTCGCTGGGCAAGCACGGAGGCAGAAAAACTACCAGCAGATTCATTCGACTTCGTGATTTGCATCCAGGCGTGGACTGCCAGTTTTTCCATGTGGTTGTTCTTAACAGTTCTTGGCTTCTTGACGCTTGGACATCTGTCGACTACGCGACCACTCGAAGAACTCAGCGCTCTCGTGATGAGCGCCTGGCAGGCTGCAGCCTCCTTCGAGCAAATCGAAGGGTTTGTGGAGGGCGTGGGGCACGTCTTGCGGAAAGGCAGGACATGGGCAGTAAGCTTTGATCATCACCACATTGTGGTTGGAGGTTATCCTGAGAGTATGCGGCAACGCACAACATGTCCATGCAACAGCACACTCTGTCTGCAGTGACCTCATCATCCCGCTCGTCCGGTGCTGTGTACCCGCCTTGTGCATGGTGCCATCGCGCGGGAGAGGTGGAAGACTCCTCCTGGCAGACGCACTCACGAGAAGTGCCAACACCAAGCTCTTGGACTCCTTGGAGGTGCGGCTTGCGAAGCTCATTTTTTGCTGCACCGACTGCACAGGCAAGCGCACACGTTTCTTGTCAGGATCATGGCTTCGATGTTGAGCTGTCGATGGACATCAGCCGCCATGTGCCGCCTGTTAAACCTGAAGCATGTTGTCCCATGTTGTCCCTAGTGCTGACAGTGACACAGCTGTAGGTGCAGCAGATGGTCTTGCATGCAGAAGTGTGGATTCATCGATGTGATTGAAGAGATTTTCGTATACTGCCGAAGGTTCATGCGGTGGGTGTTTGCGCAGTACCGACGGGGCTCTCCTATGTGCCTTGTCTTGGCAGCCGACATTTGTTTCGGAGTTCTGTCCGCCGCTCTGCACATAATTAGTAATTAGCGGGTTTGGTCACTGTGGCCTCGTGCTCTTAACCTTCTCAGCTGTCATCACTGTCGTCCGTTTCACATACTGTAAAATACTGTAACAGTAGCAGGATGAGGCTTGTGCTGCGAACTTGCCGAGGTGCACGTAGTGGCTCGCAAGGACACCTGTTGAGATTCGAGATTGGACAGTGCAGTGCCTTCTGTGTGCGTAGTCAGTGTAGGCGGAAACATGTCTCGATTGCCAGGAATAAGCAGCTCTTCAGCACGCCTCGCGCGGCAAAAGTCCTTCTAAAGCAACTGCTGCTCCACGAGTCATATAGGACTTGCGAGGGCACAGAGCAATCGATCGCTCATTCTCGAGCTATCTCTGGCTGGTGCCGAATCTAAGCGAAGCAGGAGTGAGGAACTAATGATTCTGTTTCATGCCATTCGAACAGCCGCATTCCGGTCCCGCTGTAGAAGAAGCGTTGCTCGCGTGAAGTCCAGCTGGTACCGGCCTCCTTGAAGCCACAAACGGTTTCCATGCCATCGCCGCTGAGTTAGCTCACTCTGGTCTAGAGACTTGCACTGCCTTGCCAGAACGGCACATCCCGACTGCTGCAAAGTTCCACAAGCTCCGGAGGGTACACGCGTTGTGGGCGAGGCAGCTCATGACATACTGATTGAATTGCAAGCATATTTCTGAGGGCGTGCACGCGTCTCCCTAAAAAGCGGGAGATGCCTAGCGGGAGACAGTGTCGTCGTGGGCGCATCTGCCTTCCAACAAAACGACACGGGCGTCAGCATCATTCAGCATCCAGATCAGGGCCGGTGCATGCTTGCAGAGCTAACTATTGTAGGCGGATTGTTTAGTGAACCCATCCACATGCGCGGCGAGTCTATGGGCCTCCGGTATTGATGCCACTCGCACCCCCCCCCCCCCCCCCCC